TCCGTTTTCACTTACAACATATATACAGTATCATCCAACAAAATCAACCCAAAAAATTAGATCAGATACCAATATGGTCAATTGGGAAGTTTTTCGAAAATTGGATCAAGACTATATTAGAAAGGCCCATAAACTAGGATTTAATGTACATAGAATTGTCACATGTTCAAATAATTTAGGCACACAGATTTCAAATGATAATACAACAATGCTTTCAGTACCTCCGGAAATCATGGTTAATTCATCGTTATCTTCTACGAATTCTATGACTTCGATTTCAACGATGCCGATTTGGGATGACAATAACCATTGGTTTTTCATGAATGACGGAACTGGTACTGAGTCTGAACCTGGGTCAACATTACCTTACCTCAATTCATGTTGATATTTTTTCAACTAGAACAGTAATCACTCCTTTCTTAATGAAAGACTCATCAAAAAAGTCTCGACTCTCACCAATCATAAAGATCTATTAATCTGTGAATTACGTAACTTAGGGTTTTGGAATGCGCTCTCTATAAATACTGATGTACAGTTAAAGCTCGACACAGCGAAGTCCACATTCTCTAATGCCTTCGCTATAGAGAAGTATTCGATTATCAGAAGACAAATTTATATGTTCTGACAATAATGCAAAAAAAGTTGTGTTATAAATATTCGTTCGCTATCTCGAGCGTTGACTGTATCATTTTTGCGTCATTTGATATGACCGTTATGAGAATGCCCAATCGTAGGGTATAAATCAGTTTTACCCTGGATAGTTGATAAGCGTTCATTTCGCTTATACTTAACTACCCAGGACATAACTATTATATGTTTCTCCCTCCCCGTCATTAAGTCGTCACTTCATATTCCATAATTGTATCACCATAGGCACCATCTTATCTTTATAGTATGATGCATTCTCTTATTGATGCGACATAATCTGTGCGAGTGCCAACAGGAGGAACCGTCAATGTTACACAACTGATTTTACACACGGTGTGAAACACATAAAAAAATTATTTAACAATAC